ACCTGAAAAGTATTAGTACATTGTGGCAAAAAATGTATCATTTATAGCAACCATTACCATACTGACCGGGCCAATTAATCTATTAAGCACTATAATTTTTCCCGCCAAGATTTTTATGTATTTTTTGTTTAAATTTTGGACATAATTTACTTTTTGCTATTATAGGCTTGACCAAAATTTTAGAATATTTAAAAAAAATTATTAGGTTCAAAATTTGCAACAGTAGCAAAAGTTGATTTTGGTGCTCAAAGGGTTAAACAACAGAGACTTTTCTTGCTTGGACCATGCTTTGGACCCTGCAAGAATGCTCTCAGGTTTAACTCTTTTTTGCTATTTTTCTTTTCTTTTGGCAGTAGAAAACACAGTTACAAAATTGACAAATCTGAGAGAGGTCTACCTGAGGTACCTATATATTGAAAGTTAAAGCAATTGCAGTTTTTAAGAACAAACTGAAAGTATGACTTTTTTATCAAAAATTTAAAAAAATATCCATAAAATTCAGAGATTGGCAAATATCATCATCAAATGAAAAAAATCTGAGAGAAGTCTACCTGAGGTACCTACATGTATACATTAAATATCAAATTAATCAGACTTGCAGTTTTCAAGAAGAAGTAAAAAAATCATAATTTTAAAAAATGATAAAAATATTCATTCAAATAGTAGAATTGAAGATATTGTTATAAAATCAGAGAAAGATCCATCTAAAGTTACCTAAATATATTAGATATCAAAGCAATTAAACTTGTGGCTTTCAAGAAAAAATTATAATTTATCAAAGATGATAAAAATTATAAAAAATATCATCACTCAAGGTACATATATGCCAAGTATCAAAATAATCAGACTTGCACATTTTTGGAATAATTCCAAAATACAAGAAGCATGCAGCCTGTTGGCTGATATAGCTCCGCTGTTAGTGATGCACACTTTGCAATCAGTCTGTACCACAGTATAAGAAAGGAGTCTATATATCGAAGTGATAAAAAATACTGTTTTTTATAAAAAAAAGTCTCAAATATCACTTTTTAACCAAAATATTCAAATATATTAGAAAATTAAAGGTATTCTCACAAAATGAACAAATCTGAAATGGAATCAAGAAAGGAAATTTTGTAATGAGTTAGTGAGGTTTTTAGGTTATAATGTAAAGCATGACAACAATGGAATTCAACAGATTACACACAATCAGAAATATGAACAGCTCCACTTTCCACTAAGTCAAGCTAAAGGTTGATGCGGACGGCAACGGAAGTAGCTCAAATAGAGAGTGGAGAAAAACAAACAAAAAAAACAACATTTTGAGCTTGTACAGCTTCTTCATCAACAGGCAAAGTTGATTTATTTATATCTGCAGCAGAATTGATGAGAAAATAACGTGCATACATACATATGGACAAACAGGTGAAAGAGCCAAAGACCTGAGTGAGGACTAAAAAGATGCCCTTTAAAGCGGGAGGGTCATGGTATGTGGGAATTGAGTCCCAAAAGACGATAACAACACACGCTAAACACGCAAAGGCTCATGGGCACATGCTTGTTTGTAAACAATGACACGCTATGGCCATCGACGCATGCGCAGGTGACGACTCCCTCGCTTTAACTGTTAGAAACCTCCAGAAAATCTGCATATTTCGATTCTTTCATTGATAATAATAAGGACAGTCAATTTCACCATGTTCTTTCCAGATGACATCAATTATAAATCCAAACAGAAGATAAAAGATTAATCCGATGATACAGAGTATAACAAGATTGATGTTCAAAATCATTTTTTCTGTTGACGTTTGTTCAATTGATGTTATTTTCCCTTCTATAACCTGGATTTCTTTCTCACTGAGTTCTACTTCTGGTTCATCAGTTATACCACATGTATACTTCCAAACAACACTCCAGACAGCAGCAGAGCCTAATGATATAAATTTGCATATTATCAGCATATAATTAGCATATACATCAGGAGAACCGAAAGTGTTACCATAAAGTGTCTAGATTTTCTGATATCATGATTCGAAACCTGAAACTTTGCTTAATTATTTTTTTTTTGATTGCCTGTTTTAAGTTAAGTTGAGAGTATCTGAACTGATTCTTGAATATGAACCCCAATTGTAAGCATTTTGCCCCCTTTCCAACTAAAAGTGGCTGCAAAAAAGGGTTTAACACTATACGGAAAAAGGAAAATCACTGTTTCCATGGTAATATTTCTTATTTGTTTTTTTCATTTATTTGTTGTAACCATAGCAGCGAAATCAAACAAATTGCAGTGCTTATAAAATTTCCTAATTCTGTGCCTCAATAAATTTCACCACATTTGGTGGCACGCCTCCATATACAATAAACAACAACAGCAGCTAGGAATTGAATTTACCTGTTTTTTTCTTCTGTGTCATAGTCTTTCCAGCTCTTTCAGTCGATCCATATAATACAACGCCATCATCGTCATTCAATGACTCTGACAGGTCACACTGAACTTCAGAGTTAATTTGTTTGTTATCATCAGATGCATGGAGTATACACACATTTTTAACGCAATCTTTCCCCATATCAACATCAATACTGGCCTCGCTCTCTGACATACTGTGATTGTCACTGGAATTAATATCATCCTTTGTTTTGATTTCACCATTGCTGTATTCATACTTTGTTACTGTCATTGGGAAATCTCCTTCAGACAAAGTATTTGTATAAGTGCCTAAAACAAAAAGTTGTTATTAGTAATAAAAATATAAATTTGATCTGTTAATACTAAGATTAGCTAATAAATATTCCTGGAACATAGCCCTGGAACATGTATGAAGTATGTAAACAAAAAAATCCTTGAACATGTATGTGAAATACCAAATAGCCCTGGAACATGTATGAAGTATGTAAACAAACAATCCTTGAACATGTATGTGAAATACCAAATAGCCCCGGAACATGTATGAAGTATGTAAACAAACAATCCTTGAACATGTATGTGAAATACCAAATAGCCCTAGAACATGTATGAAGTATGTAAACAAACAATCCTTGAACATGTACGTGAAATACCAAATAGCCCTGGAACATGAATGAAGTATGTAAACAAAAAAATCCTTGAACATGTATGTGAAATACCAAATAGCCCTGGAACATGTATGAAGTATGTAAACAAAAAAATCCTTGAACATGTATGTGAAATACCAAATAGCCCTGGAACATGTATGAAGTATGTAAACAAGCAATCCTTGAACATGTATGTGAAATACCAAATAGCCCTGGAACATGTATGAAGTATTTAAACAAACAATCCTTGAACATGTATGTGAAATACCAAATAGTCCTGGAACATGTATGAAGTATGTAAACAAGCAATCCTTGAACATTTATGTGAAATACCAAATAGCCCTGCTATGATATATATAAACCAAACAGCCCTGGAACATGCATTTGAAATACCAAAATGCCCTAGAACATGCATGACAAATATAAAAACAAATGAGCCCTGTAACATGTATATGGCAAAATATTTGCCTTTGTATGTGATTAACGATGGGGCTATATTTTTACCTTCATTTAACTGATCTGTTTGCGGTATGTCAACCATGGAACCATCGTACAGTGTATTAACATCAATTCTGTTTTCTTTACTATGCCGAGTCCAATATGTCAGACGATGTAACTAGGAAAAAAATAAAGTTGTAGATTATGTTACATTGAAAAATGTCATATGCTAATAAAATGGAGTTGCAAGGTAAATATATTTTAAGCTGGCCTTATTTGGCTATAACAAGGATATATAAGATAAGGGCTTGCAACTCAGATATCTATGTATTGCACATGCCAGGCAATGGCCGATCCCATTATGTGCATAAATACATTGAACATATTTCTAACCAAAACCTTTTCATAAGTCAGGAGCCCTCACAGTTTCCTGTGGGAGAGGCGTATCAGGTGAACTCAGAAAGAGGCTCATTGGGAAGCCATGTTTTTGCTACATAAACTTGCATAGAAAACAGCAGTTTTTTTTTTAATTCAACAAATCAGTGTGTTAAATTATGTTTACATAAAATTTCAACATTTTGCAATGACCATCACACTTTAATTTACCACAAAAAACTACATTGAGAAACTGATGACCTCATAATTGAACACACTGTCAACATATTTATAATGTACTTTAACTCACCATGTTGTCTTGAATTTTAGGTTTTGTACATTTACTTATTATCCAACAAAAGAACAATGCACTCCAGAAGAGAACGGTCGCTACATAGAAATAGTGTATGGTGATGAACCATGAGCGGTTGTCTTCTTCTCCGCATGGAGGATCAGGGAATATTAACATGAACAGAAACCTCATTGAACCCATTGCTAAGGTAATCATCAAAGAATAAAATACTCCCTGAAAAAATATATATTTAGATATTGTCAGATAATATTGTGTAACTACTGGGTACACATAGCACATATGCTTGGTTATTGAATATGTATGGGTTATTTTTGGGTATACTTAGTTACGAGTTAGCTATGCTTACTTATGGGTTATGTCTGGTTAATTATGGGTTATGTATGATTACTTATAGGTTATGAATGATTACTTATGGGTTATGAATGATTACTTATGGGTTATGAATGATTACTTATGGGTTATGAATGATTACTTATGGTTTATGTATGATTATTTATGGGTTATC